TGCACACTCACAACGTACACACATAATGTCAGGTTCACACATACTCCGTTTGCAGTGCATACGTGGTGCATATTTTTTCCACGCTCATGTTAACGGATTAAAGCGTTCACTACATGCGGTTGCAGTCTGGCAGTGCGTTCAAGGAGCGGTGCGTCTGCAGCAGTGCAGTGATCGTTTCCGCATCGAGTCTATTTTTGCTGCCTGCAAGCGCTGAATTAAAGTACCGGCACATTGTTTGCAGTAAATATGAACATGGATTGACATGAAAATGTAGTAATTACACCATAACTGCATATTATAAAATCATAATTTAAAATCTACTATGTTTCACACTCAACACATGGCTTTTTGGCTAGGTTTAAAGGGAAAGAGCACTTTTAGACAAACAATAATAGGCAATAATAGATGGCAGGTAGGAAAACAAAGTTCTTTATGAACTGCAGGATTGCTTGTAATAAAGATTTAAATGCAAAAGGAAAGGCAGTAGAGCTGACTATTTCTGTCAATGGTTAGTTTGTGATAACATAAGCAAAGTAGTTTAAATGTTTTGCCAATTGCTTGAGCAACTTAATATATAAATCTAGAAGTAAACGCAAAAGTAAAAAGCATTGAATAATGTGTTGCTTATATTTATTGTGTTTAAACATGTCTGTGAAAGATTGTATTACTGTACCATGTAAAAATAAAAAAAAAAGAATTGCAATGCTGAAAAAGCATTTTCAGTGACAATGTTTGGATTTGAAATGAAAATAATGGATAAATGTTGTGTTTCTGTTAAAGAGCCACGGATCAGTAGCGGACTCCTCTCACAAGAGACACCTAAGAGGGGAATTCACCCCATTTTCAAAAATGAAATTCAGGCCCTGAATAAATGTAAAAAAAATCCTGATTGGAGTATATAAATAGTTAGAAATGATAAAAAGAAGGCTTTAAAAAGATCTGTATAGGCAGATACTGCTTTCTGTGATCAGCCTCAAAAATCCTGTTCGGAGCACCCCTAGCTAAGGTTTATCCAAAAAAGGTCGCTAGATTTGTCAGTATGAATGTTCTATGGAAAAAAGCCGCTAAAAGGGTCTGAAAGTTGACAGACTGAGATTCCTTAGGAGACCTTTTAACCTCTCTGGTCTTCACAGAACATATCATGTTCACAGAATGGCACAGAAACTGTCTTTTACAGATGTAGATGCACCCAAAATGAACTCAAAGAGACTTATACACGAATATCGTTTTTATGTGTGTGTTTGAATCTTCTTGCTTGAAACGTTTCTTCCAATCAATACTTCGTCAAATGTATCATATTCTTGTTATAGAAATAATGTCCAAAATTATACTCTGCAAGAGTGGGAAAATTCGGACCATGTGACTGATAAGATCATATGTTGATTTATGTATTGGGAGGAGAAACATCCAACACACCGAGCAAAGACAATATCTAATTGGTCAAGACACCATTTGGGATGTGGCCAACAACCCGGTTTAAATACTCAGGACACCATCAAATTATGCTTTTTAGTCATGTTTTAAGCCACTGATTTTTAGCTTTTAGCTTCAAGTCATCGCTTCTAGCCTTTAGTCATGCTTCTAGGTTTTTCCTTGCCTTTTTGCCACCGCATTTTGATGCTGGTTTTTAGTGCTCTTTGAGCGTGCTCTGGCTTACACGCCAGCAGCTCCTCTAAAACCATGAGGAGAAAACCCATCTAATCTCGTTACTATTATTCTTCTACTTTAATTTCATTTTCTTTTCCATTGAGAGTTTTGGGTTCAGAGTTAAGTTTTGTCTCCGAGTTCACCCCGAATCTGACTGCCTCAAAACTTCAACCAGCCCACAACTGGCTTCCCAAGAGTCACTTCAACGACTACTGAACTTCCAGCCAATCAGCAACCTCGGGAAACCCCCTTTTCTGCAATGACTACAACAAAGGGAATCCCCCTGCACAGGCAACGCAAGTACCTCCAGATTCTAGCTGAACTGGTGCATTTAATATAAATTTTAACCTCATTGAGCAAACTCAATGCGAGGGTTAATTAAGTGATTGATGGTTGTTCAGATCTATGCAATTCCACATATTGCTGTAAGCTTAGGCTTTCACATTTTCATTCTCTCAAACTCATTTCCTCACTTTCTCTCTTCCTGCAACTTGTATGAATGTGTGAGTGCATGTGTTAGATTATATCGTCTTAGATTTATCTAATAAAGTCTTATTCATATTGAAAAGAGAAGTATCTTGTTTTGTGCTTGCAAGTTAATGTCTTAAACTGCCGATCTTGTTACTGTGCTAATAAATAGTGTTTTCACTATATTTTGGATATTAATATTCATGCAGAATTGATGTTATATGGCTCGTTCAATGAATCGCTGGCCGACTCAGTGATTAGATGTAAAACAGTGCTTCTGTCCAAATTCCCTATAAAATCTTAAATGATTCCCTTTGAGCTAAATTGACTCAAAGGGACTTACAAAGTGCCTTCCCTTACAAAGTGCTTGACTGAGGTTAAAGGTTGGTTTGCAAATAATGTCTTACAATTAAATGAAGATAAGCCTGAGTTTATTATATTTGGTAACAAACAGTTTGAGAGAGGTGTGGTTGAAAGCCACAGACTACTCTCCAACAATTTGGATGGTTATGTGAGGAACTTGGGAGTAATTTTTTATTCTGAAATCCGTTTTGACCGTCAAGTAAACATTGTTGTGGAAACATCTTCGTTTCAGTTAAGGAAATTGTCTTAACTGAAAACTATCCTTTCAAACAAGGACTTTGAGACTGTTTTACGTATTTTTTTCTCAACACGGTTGTATTATTGTAATGCCTTATGTCTAGGCGTAAGTGAATCGCTGGATACTCGTCTTCAGTATGGTTTAAAATGCTGCAGCAAGATTTTTAAGAAACACCAGAAAAAGTGAACATAGGTTTTATATGTTGGCATCTCTGCACTGGCTACCTGTAAAATACTGAATAAAGTACAAGGTGATGATGTTTGTTTATAAAGCATTGCTTGATCAGGCTCCTGAGTATATAAAGAATATGCTAAAACCTTACCAATCTCATTGTCCTCTGCACTCTTCTCAGAGCATGCTCTTAACTCTCCCATGGTCTCGCCTGAGGCGTTGTGGAGATTGCGCTTTTTCTGTTGCGGCACTGGCACTTTGGAACACACTGCCATTATCTATAAAATCCTTGTCAAGCATGGACATTTTTAAAAGGGAGTTGAAGACTTGCTTGATTTATACGTTTGATTAGGTCAGACAATTGTGAACGATTTGTTCAAGGTTTCATGGTGTTATGTTATTAATATCTTTTGATTTCTAGATTATACTCTATTAATGTATAGCACTTTGGTCCATTTTTATGGTTTTGAAAGTGCTTGAAAGTGCTTTTGAAAGTGAAATTGCACAGATAAGTAATTCAATTGTGGTCTGAACGTCAAAGCATAAGACAAGACCAGACACTGATTGTGTGCAAATTCAGGCCCCGTCCACACGGAGACGCATTTAGCTGTATACGCATACATTTTGTATTGTATAGGCATTTCGTCCAGACGGATCCGGCATTTTGGTGAGAGTGAAACCAATATTTTTTTAAATCGGGTCCCAGAGTGGATAAATCTGAAAACGCATAGTCCAAGTCTTCTTCTCTGTTTTTAGTGTATCTCTGTGGCAGAATTACAGCGCCACATACTGGTCTGGCATGTATACTACATCGTTTTGTGGTTTCGTGTGGACGCAGATATTTCTTGAGACGAGGGAGAAAAAAAGATTGGATAGGGAAAGCTCTGGCTTCGTGTGGACACAGCCTCAGGGTATTGTTCATGATGAAGGGTTAATGAGTACTCAGGTGGAGGTGATCAGTACTTGAGTGAGTGAGCGGTGTGTGTCAGGGTGTGGAAGGCTGGCATGGTTGTGAAAGCTGACTCCTTGACTAAAGCATTTTCAAACCTTTGGGAGGCACTGTATAATTCAAACATTCAGGAAAAAGTGATGCAAGTATGACGCAATGCATGAAAACACTGTTATAAATCAGGGGTAAGCAACATCGGTCCTGGAGAGCCGCTGTCCTGCAGAGTTTGGCTCCAACCCTGGAGAAAGAAAAAAAAAACCTGCCTGTAGTCTTAGTAATCTTGGAGACAATGATTAGCTTGATCAGGTGTGTTTGATTAGGGTTGGAGCTAAACTCTGCAGGACAGTGGCTCTCCAGGACCAACGTTGCCTACTCCTGTTATAAATGAAGGGTTAATTTGCAAAAGCAGATAACTCAGTTTTTATTAATTTTCATAAATCATGTTTTATTTTTATTGTGCATTCCAAGTAATTTCAATCAAACTGCAGTTGAGTTGTTTTGATTAAATAACTCAAAATTAAAAATACAGGTAACTAACCAAATAATTTTTTTAAATTGAAAGTATATATATATATATATATATATATATATATACACATACTGTATATTAAAAAGTTTTTTTTTTAGCAAAAGCAGATAACTCCACATTTCATTTTTCAGAGTTAATCTCCTCAGCTGACAATGTACAGTAGACGCCTAAACTTTGTTGTTGTGATTACACGCGATAGGGAGCTTTTCCCTCACCACTGTAATGTGCTGCTTTAACAAGGTTCTGTGAAAGTTTGTCGAAATGATCCATCCTTGATCACTTTTAGTCAGCTTTGACGAAACTCCTCTCAGCTAGCGCGTCTTTTCAAAGTGACTAGCAGACTTGGTAACCTGACCTGAATACTGCGTGCTGATTCGCTAAAAATGACTTATCGGGTTTTGTTCACAAACAACAAGGCCTCCACATGCCTTAAAGTGGACAATACTGGCTTTTGTGACAAAACATGTTTAGGGTTCAGAGCATGCCATTTGTGGAGAATAACGCACAGCAGTCAGTTCATTTTGTTTAAAAGTGCCGTTTTTGCAAATTAACTCTTCAAATGGTGAGCAGATCTGTAAGGTCTTCAAATAATGTTGATTTTGTTATTGTGTGATCAACAGATTTGAAACACTCACCTTCTGTAACACCCCAGAGGACAAAAGCCATAAACATCATAATATTTGGAAGAAATGCATGAAGAACCCCAATAGTCCTGACACGTTTGGGTGCAACGGGGTCTAAAGAACAAATACAGAATGTTAGTGTATGTATATCATCTTGAGCCACTTTACATACACTTACCTTATTAAATGTTTACTCAGCTGTGACTGTAGTTTCTAAGCAAATCCCTAAGGCTAAGTCACCATGGGTTCTCTAAATAATTTCCCAAGGGTTTTTTATGATGAGTTTTGTTCGTTGAGAGCATTGTACATTCACTTCTCCCACCTACAATCCCTGCCGATACCGAGACTCGAACCCATGACCTTTGGGTTACAATTCTGACTCTAACCATTAGACCAAGACTAAACCATTCTAAAAATGGTTGGTTGATTTTCCTAAAACTCTAACACTGTGACATTGATATACTCTATTTGGACATCTCTCCACATTGAATAAATGTCTTTGAGTTATTTTCCTGTAAACATACCTGTGATAAATTGTGATCTGCAGTAGATCAGACAGCAGAGCAGAAGTGCAGATCCAGATGCAGCAATACAGAGAATCAACATCAGTATGTGTGAAACAGAGAAACCTGTTAAAATACAGAGATTAGACTATAGACAGAACACAAAGTTGGTGTCATTTATTAGTGGGGCAAATGGAACATGTGCCTACTATTGTTTGTGAAGTCTGATTTAGTCCTTACCACTTCTTGAAACAGCATTCAGCAATATTTAAAATACAGAAGAATCACCAACACATGAAATTCATCACTCTTCTGCAGCTAAAAGGACTCACTACCCAAAGCAGCAGTAAACAAACATATGCCTGCTGTTGATATACATTAATTAACATATGTGGTTTATTAAAATAAAACGTGAAGTTGGATTAGGTTAGGAAGGTGGACATTAAAATTCATCACAACAGACCTTATATGGGAATTACAATCTGTCACAGAAATATTTAAATAACCAAGCTTGATTCCGTAAACATAAATGAAAGGTCCAGTCAGACCACAACTAAAATATTGTCCTGTAAATTAATGGAAGAATATCGGCAACACGTTTGCTAGTAATTTACTGTTAACAGTTATTTGCAGTAATCTACTTTACAGTATGCTACTGTAATACCATTAACTAAATCAGAATGAGCTTTATTGCCAGGTATGTTTACACATACGAGGAATTTGTTTTCGTGACAGAAGCTTCCACAGTGTAACAGAATGACAGTGACAGAACAAAAAACACAGATAATAAAAAATAGAACAAGTAAATAAGGAATAAAAATATATAAATTGACAGTTGTATGAGCAGGTATATTACAATAGACAGTTTTTGTATGTACAGGTACTGTATATTATGTGCATATTTGAGGTGTAGACTGAGTATGTGTGTTAGATAAATAAGTGTATGAGTGAATAAATAGTGTGTGTTCCACAGTTATTGTTAAGTGTTCATGAGATGGATGGCCTGAGGGAAGAAACTGTTCCTGTGTCTGGTCGTTCTGGTGCTCAGTGCTCTGTAGCGTCGACCAGATGGCAACAGTTCAAAGAGGGAGTGTGCTGGATGTGAGGGGTCCAGAGTGATTCTGCCAGCCCTTTTGCTCACTCTGGATAAGTACAGTTCTTGGAGAGAAGGGAGGGTTGTACCAATGATTTGCTCAGCAGTCCGGACTACCCTCTGAAGTCTTCTGAGGTCAGATTTGGTAGCTGAGCTGAACCAGACAGTTATTGAAGTGCAGAGGACAGATTCAATAATGGCGGAGTAGAACTGTTTCAGCAGCTCCTGTGGCAGGTTGAACTTCCTCAGCTGGCGAAGGAAATACAACCTCTTCTTAACTAATTTTAATTTGCACCTTTAAGTTTATAAACTAATATTTACAGTGTGTGCATTATTATTATGCAAGTTGATACTTTGATCATATTTTTTTCCAAGCATTGCCTCAACTGTCTTACACTGTATATCCTAATCTTTTGATATAGAGTTTTATATGGGGTGGTGCTATCCTTTTGTTCATTCAGACTATTCTGTTATTTTCATGATACTGTCAATTCATTTTTATTTATTTTTGTTATTATTTTGGTTTACAAAACTATCCATTTAAAGTAGATGAAAAATTATTATAGATATCTTTTTACCTTCTAGTACTTTCTACATACTTCCTAGAATAGGACTACATACAGTGCATTCGGAAATTATTCACTTGTTTAGACTCCCGTCTAGCCCAGGGGTAGGCAAGTTCGGTCCTACGCAGTCCTGCAGAGTTCAGCTCTAACCCTGAAAAACAACCTCACCTGTCTAAAGCCTTAGTAATCCTGAAGACATTGATTAGCTTGTTCAGGTGTGTTTGATTAGGGTTGGAGCTGAACTCTGCAGGACTCGGGCTCTCTAGGACCGAACTTGCCTACCCCTGGTCTAGCCACTCTGCCATAAAGCCCAGATCAGTGGAGGGCTGCAGTGATGGTTGTCCTTCTGGTACACATAATCTCTGGAGCACAGTTATAGTAACCATCAGGTTCTTGTTCACCACTCTTACTAAGACCCCCGATTGCTCAGTTTGGCCGGACGACCAGATCTTGGAAGAGCCCTGGTTGTGCCAACCATCTTCCATTTGAGAATTATGGAGGCCATTGTGCTCTTGGGAACCTTCAGTGCTGCAGAAATGTTTTGTAGCCTTCCCCAGATCTGTGCCTTGCAACAGGTCTCTGAGCTCTGCAGGTAGTTCCTTTGACCTCATGGCTTGGTTTTTGCTCTGATATGCATTATCAGCTGTGAGGCTTTTTATAGAGAGGTGTGTGCCTTTCCAAATCATGTCTAATCAATTTAATTTACCACAGGTGTACTCCAATCAAGGTGTAGATTAGTGTTGTGCGATATGCTTCATTTTCAGATCCCCATATCGTCAGCCTGTGAGATCGCCGATAAATTATATTATCGCGTGGGGGCGGGACAGTGCAATACTTCACTAATTTATTCATATATTTAATCATTTCTAAACGTAAAACGTGGAGTTGGTTAACTACAAAAATGTCACATCGCCTATTTGGCAATTTTTGGATATAAATCAAGCAGTCTGCAAAATTTGCACCAATGTTGTGTGTGTAAGAGAGTCTCAAACGTCAAACTTGTTTGTACATTTGCGTACTCACCACCCCACTGAGGCTGTTAAACTAGCACCAAAAGAAGCTTCAGTGACGGTCAGCAAAGGTCCAAGTCAGTCATCAATTGACGGAGCTTTTGCAAAAAGCACCAAGTACAAACGAAACAGTGAAAGGTGGGCCTGGTGCACAGCAGCTGTTTCTAAGTATATCGCGAAGGAGATGGTTTCCTATCATACCATTGATAAGAAACGTTTTAAAGAACTACTTCAGACATTTGACAAACAGTACAAGCTGCCAGGGCGCAAGTATTTAACCAAAACTGGTATCCCTGATCTGTACAATAAAATGAGGGAGATCATCGCTAAAGATTTGAAAGTGGTTGACTTTGTCGCTTTGACCACAGACATGTGGTCAAGCTTAAATATGATCCCCTACATGTCTGTTACAGTCTATTATATTTCAGAGGAATAAAAACTGAGTGCTAAATATCTCTAAACAACATTCGTCCCGGAGAACCACACTGCAGAGGTACTGGCTAAGATGATGGTAGAGGTCTTGAATGATTGGAACATAAAAGAGAGTCAAATTTTCTGCATCACTACTGACAACGGGGCGAATATTGTTACGGCAGACCTGCCAACCTGTACACATTTTGCGTAGCGGGTACGCATTTTGACCTTAAAGTACGCTGGGACGATTTGACACTCTAAACTACGCAAAAACCTGGTGACCTGTCCACGCACAGTAAACAAGCAACAGAAAAAGATGAGGAGTTCAACCAATCAGAGCGTTTTTTCCGGATTTGCATTTAAATAATTTCCGTGTGTGTTTTATTTCTCTCCAAACTGGCTTTTTTTGTGTGTCCGTGAGTCGTGCGCTGAGATGAGGAAACACGTGCATGGTGCATCTGAAAAAGAAACATAAGCCGAGCATGACTTGTAATTCGGAGTGCTTCTAAACCTGTTGTCTAACAAAACAGAACATTATAACATAATCAGGGCTCCATAACAATTTTTTCTGCCGGTGCGACTGTGCACTGGCGCGACCACCATGTTGTTCAACTCATAAGTGCTGCCATTTCTGTAGCATATGAGAAACATCAAACGGCAAAAGAAACAAAAGCAAAACTTAACCGCGCTACGTTTCAGCTGCGTAGCGTGGACCGCTACGCAAACAAACTTGCATATATGTACTTTTTGCGCAGGGGCGCCCTCTAGTATCCAGTATTAATGAAACAGACATTACATGTGTTCATAGCACTAAATAATGGCCAATCTATAAAAATAATACTTCTCTCAAAAGAAATTTAAGGTAGACATGTGATAATCCATGTTTTTCTACAGTGTACAACAATGTACTGGAGTTTTAATTAAAGTATACTGGAGTTTTATTTTTTTTTAATCACTAAAAACTTGCCCGTTTCTTAAAAAATGCTTATGTAAAATAAAAAAATACATCAAATCACAATTATAACCAGTAGACGGCAGCAGAGGACCACTTATTGGCTTATTAGTCATTCATTTCTACTTTTCTCTATATTTTGAAATTATAAAATCAATATTATAAAATATCAAATCATCAAGAAATCAGATTTTGTCAGAATTTTACACTTTTTGTGTATGAAGTAAGAAAAGTCACAAAGTGCCCAGACAGACAGACAGACAGACAGACAGATAGATAGACAGAGACAGACAGATAGATAGACAGACAGACAGATAGACAGAGACAGACAGACAGACAGACAGTGCACCTGTTACTGTTGTTAATAAAAGTAAATTTTGTATGCATCTTAACTCAAGCTTAGTGCTTTACTGTCAAATCTGTATAAACAATAAATAACAGAAAAATAAACAAGAAATGAACATGTAATATTATTAGTAACTGAACTTATTAATGCAAAACAATAGTAATTTTATGATTAAATGATCTATATTTTAATACTCCCACCCCCAGCGCTAGCAAATCTGCTCCTGGCGCCACCATCTGTACAACTTAGTGGCGCTGGTGCCACTGCTCTCAAATGTTAGTCTGGAGCCCTGACATACTCCACAACATCAGACAAATGTTAGAAATAACTTCCGTCCTGATCTGATGTGGCTTATTATCACAGAATGACGCAGGAATATATTCTATACTCATACTGTAATAAAGGCTATGTTGATTAGCAATGGACTATAAATATACTTATAAAAATACCAGAGGTGGTTTTAAGAACACAGATAAACATTGTCACTGTTGAGTGTTTATTGTCTTAATGTTCTCTTTGAATGTCATCATTAAAAGTGTTTCTGTCTTCTTTCATTCAGTTACAGCCATAGCTGCTTTTGTCCATATTAGGGATTTCTCGGAGCGTCATTGAGCGCTATTTCTTAAGTGATGCATATATGGACTTTTTGCGCAGGGGCGCCCTCTAGTATCCAGTATGAATGAAACAGACATTGCATGTGTTCATAGCACTAAATAATGGCCAATCTATAAAAATAATACTTCTCTCAAAAGAAATTTAAGGTAGACATGTGATAATCCATGTTTTTCTACAGTGTACAACAATGTACTGGAGTTTTAATTAAAGTATACTGGAGTTGTATTTATTTTTTAATCGCTAAAAAGAACTCTGTTGTGCCAAACCATCAGAACCAAACTGAAAACTGTGGTTAAAAAACTGTTATTGAACCTTGGGCTAACTGTATTGTTGCATTCCTACTGTTTACCCTAAAATACTGTATAACAGGAATATCACAAACTGAGTGCAGACTCTGAGTACTAACCTATGAAAAATATTTAACATGAAGTCTAGCATTTTGCAGATTGTGCAATTACGATTTTGACATTAGCCATCAAGGAGCTTCAAGTAATGTAGGAATAGGCTATATGACCCCCGGTATCACCCCATATCAACACACTGATGTACTCAATTTCCAAAGGTTGGCAGGTCTGTTACGGCCATACGAGGGCTCAAATGGTCATGGCTAAACGTTTTTTCCTGATGACAAGAGCCGTCGCACACTCCCAAACCTAACTTGACAGGACATTGCCATACTAGAGGCTGTCAAAGATGGCTTGAAGCCTGTCGCAGAATTTACTGATATTTTATCAGCTGAAAATTACGTGACAGTCTCATCTCTGCTGCCGATGCTGCATCTTATGACGGATATCCTGAAGGAGGAGATGGCTGATGTAAAGATGATGCAGAAATTAAAAAGGGGATCTTAGAGAAACTTAAATCGAAATATGACGACAACACACTTCAGTTGCTGCGAAAAGGGACCCTCCTTGACTCAACTTGAACCCTGAACAACTTGATGGAAAGATAAAATCAAGCCACCTGTATGCATCAGAGCGGGGGAGGAGGGGAGGAGGAGGAAGAGAAAGAAGTAGCACATGCAGCAGCTCAGATACAGCCTGCTGAAAAGACCAAAACTCTGGGACGTCTTCTGGGCAGAGTGGAGCAGTCCATGTCCACAATCCCCGCAGACCAGCAAGCAAAATCGGAGATCACATCCTACTTGCAAGAGGAAGATATTGATGGCGATGACAATCCACTGGAATGGTGAGGGAAAAAAAGGAAGCTGCTATCCTTTAACAGCAAACATGGCTAAAAATACCTGCGCATTACTGCAAACAGCACTCCATCAGAGCGCGTGCTCAGTGCAGTGGGCAACATAGTTACTCCCCACTGCAACCTCCTCAAACTAGACAGAGTAAACCAGCTTGTTTTTTTAGCTAAAAATCTGTAGACATAAATACCTGAATGGTATAACAAAAATTACCTTAATTGTTTCGGGCCTTGTGTTTGTTTTAGGAATAAGTTCATTCGAGAACATTTGAGGTGGTAATTTAACTATTTTGATCCTTCATTTTAGTTGTTGTTCTTTCATTGTCGTTTTTTTTATTTATCAAAGCCTATTTTGTTATTTATTATATTTAGGTTACCATCAACCTGTCTCACAGCCTGTCTATTTTAATGGACATCATTTATTTTTGGGCCGGGGCTAAGACAATACAACAATTACAATATTTATAGGCTACATTGTCTGCTGAAATTAAAGTATTTCACTGCACTTATACAATAAATCTAAATTGAATGGCTTACTATGTGCAATATTTTGTGTTAACTCGTTCTTAAGAAGTTTTCGTTGTCATTGTTTGAAATAAAGCTGCTTTTAATTTGAATTGTTGACTGATTGTTGTGTGTTTGGACCTATTAGACTGTTATTATAGTTTATCATTTTAATTATATAATAACAGTAATAGCAATTTGTTATTGTATTATTATTAGTATCAATAAAATTGTATGTTTATGTGCTACGCAAAGAAAATGAAATGCTATCACATATGACGTTTCCGTTTTCGCCTTGGCTCATATCATGACTCATATATCACTTTGCAATGTAATTTTGAAATGACATTGTAGTCTTTTAAAAACATGTTCACTGAGTAATTCTCATTTTAAAACTCAAATGCGCGTGGTGTTGCAAGTATCGGTTAGGCTATGCAGTGATGTTGACGTGAACAATAGGTTATAGCTGGGCAAATTAATTGTAATTCATTTATTAATAATAATAATAATAATTTAATAATAAAAATAATATATTTAATACATTCATGGGAAACAAGACAAATATCGTCTTGAAATCGCCAAAGGCCTCAGCTTTCGGCGATATCTCTGCCTGTCATCGGTACGCGATACTATCGTCTATCCCTAGTGTAGAAGCAACTCAGCAACGATAAGAGAAATGGGAGGCACCTGAGCTAAACTTCAAATGTTGTTGCAATACTTATGAATACTTATGTGCATGTAATATTTCAGTTTCTTTTTAATTTAATTTAATTTTAATTTTTCAATTCTTTTTTATACATTTACAGACATTTCTAAACTTTTGTTTTCACTTTGTCATTATGGGCTATTGAGTGTAGATTAATGAGACAAAATTAATTTAAATGATTGTAGTATCAGACTGCAACATAACAAAATTGAAGAAAAGTGAAGGGGGTCTGAATACTTTCTGAATTCACAGTATTTACTTTCTTAAAATTATTTGCAGCCAAAAAAAAAAAAGCCAATCCAAAAATGAATTCCTCTACTGTATTGAATTGTAAGAGTAAACTGGTTTGTGTTTAACAGTTAGTTAGTTCAATAGTGTAATAGCTGGTTTAATAGTTTATGCTCAAGTCTATCTGTTACTCACCCAGTTTCTCCAGTACTACAGTTGCATTGGCTGAAAGTCCTCCAGCAAACACCTCACACATGTAAACTCCTTTATCCTCAGTTCTGACGCTCTTCAGTCTGAGAGAGAAGTTTCCTTTGGGGATTTCAGCAGTGAAGAGCTCAACTCTGTCTATGTATCGCTCATTTGATGAATGTGCCTCATTGTTTTGGTAGAGCAGAACCTGAATATCTTCATCTATTTTCTTCCATGAAACCTCCTCAAAGTCTTCGGGTGGGATGTGAGAGTCTACAGAGCAGTTCAGAGTGACGTCTTCACCCACAGACGCAGATATGGAGCGACTCGATCCTGATACTAGCAAACGCTCTGAAAGAACAAACAGTGTAAATATACATTCAGTAATTAGTTTCTGTAAAATCATAATGAAAATAATGGAAGGAGCTCATGTGTTCAATACTCACCAGCATTAACTTTTATTTGAACCACAGTCTCACCAGAATCCTGCTGACTGTGAACTTTACATTTATACTGTCCCTCATCTTCAGCTCTCAGATCGTCCAGCCGGAGGGAGAAGTTTCCACGTTGAATCTGATCAGTGAAGAAATGAGCTCTATCCTGATAATCCTGCTGCTGGGCTTCTGCTCGACTCTCACCGTCCTGATACAGATGAACCAGAGTCTCTGAGTCTGTTCTTCTCCATTCCACCTCCAGATCCTCCACTGATAAAAGTTCATCAACAGAACAGGGCAAAACCACGGAGGATCCCAGAGGAGCAACCAGAGGACCAGAGGGACCGTGCACAGTCAACCCTGAAATATGAATAAACAATATTCATTAAATAATAAACACTAGGATGCTCAGCATGTAACAACTATAAATACAGAAATAAACTATTTCTGCTCTGTACAAATTTGCTGTACAAATTCATTTGTATAAAGAGTTGTGTATTATTGGTGCACACAAACTGTTAATTTTACCTTTGATTAAAAATCTAACAGATTGAAAACCATTTCTCTAATACTGGTTCCGGTAAAAAAATAAAAAAAACAGGGTAAAGAATTAACTTTTAGTTTACTTTTCAATGAAAAGAATAGCAACACTTCCTGGTAGTGCTGACTCTGGCTACTATATAACCCGCTCATATTTAGCACATGTAAATGTATTGTAATTTTCAAGGTTATTCCCTTCCCACAGTCACCTTTGGCTGCTCTTTTTATATTTTTTTATTTTAAGATTAATGAATTATAGTTAGTTAACCAAATATCAAAACGTAGCCAGAAAATGCATAGTGTCATTTTAATATCAACATCAGGTTCTGCACATTTAATCCTTCTCATGTCTAAAACAAATATATTCAACTCGCCTATAATAATGCTTCAAATCTCTTTAATCTGTTTGAAGAGCAGCTCGATTAGGCATCGGCTATTTGCACTAAGTGCAGATAGCGATAGATGACAGACAATAGTCTATTAGAGCCGTGTATGATTTATCTAATGGCTTGGAAAACGCCTATTTTTCACATTCCTCATAGCACCGCGGTCAAGCCAGCGAGTTCAGAAAAACACGGTCAAGCCAGCCGCGGTTGAAATTGGTGTTCGCGCGTATTACAATGATTACGGTAATTGCATGAACACACAGAGAGAACGCACTTTCAGAGCACTTTTCATTTAGACGCCCAGAATTGAGATATAATACAACAAGATGACATTTCTCGATTTCTTTTTTTTTGTACTCCGGCTTTAATATGCGTGTTATTTATTGGTGTTTTGACGGATGTGTGTTACTGTATTTTTCGACCTTTCAACTCATAGCAGGATTCCTAGAAAAAGAGAAATGGAAAATTATTGGATTTCCCAGCTAGCAGGGAATGTTCTCATAACTTTGCGTACAGGTTTGGTTGATGTTTTAGAGACAACATTTGAATGTAATGTTCAAAAAATGTTTTAAGAATGTTTTTCATTTCAGATAATGTTCCTAAAACGTTAAGTGTAAACAAAGCTAGAACATTTTACCTGCAACATTTTGAGGATGTTGTTGAGGTAACAGATTATATAATGCTCTCACTAAAACATTGGCATAATGTTTCAAGATAACGAAGAAAGAACATTCTCTCAGTCACATTAGGAGAACGTCATAGGAACATCACTGAGACGTGTAATGTTTTTATAAAACGTTCTTGTAACGTGACAAAGCTAGAACATTTAACCTGCGACATTTTAAGGATGTTGTTGAGATGACAGAATATAATATTCTCAAAACATTGGCACAATGTTACAAGATGACAAAGGAAAAACCATTCTCTTAACCACTGGAGAACGTTATACAGTGCATCCGGAAAGTTTTCACAGCATGTTACAGCCTTATTCCAAAATGGATTAAATTATTTCTCAATTCTACGAACAATACACCATAAACGTGAAAAGTTTTTGAAATCCTTGCAAATTAAAAAAAAAAAAAAACATGTGCATAAGTATTCACAGCCTTTGCTCAATACTTTGTTGAAGCACCTTTGGCACCGATTACAGCCTCAAGTCATTTGGAGTATGATGCTACAAGCTCGGCACACCTATTTTTTGGCAGTTTCTCCCATTCTTCTTTGCAGGACCTCTCAAGCTCCATCAGGTTGGATGGGGAGTGTTGGTGCACAGCCATTTTCAGATCTCTCCAGAGATGTTCAGTCGGGTTCAAGTCTGGGCCACTCAAGGACATTCACTGAGCTGCCCTGTAGCCACTTTGTTATCTTGGCTGTGTGCTTGGCATCGTTGTCCTGTTGGAAGATAAACCGTCGCCCCAGTCTGAGGTCCAGGTTTTCATCAAGGATGTCTCTGTACATTGCTGCATTAATCTTTCCCTCGATCCCGACTAGTCTACCAGTTCCTGATTCAGAGCCTCTGCTCAATACTTTGTTGAAGCACCTTTGGCACCGATTACAGCCTCAAGTCTTTTTGAGTATGATGCTACAAGCTCGGCACACCTATATTTGGGCAGTTTCTCCCATTCTTCTTTGCAGGACCTCTCAAGCTCCATCAGGTTGGATGGGGAGTGTTGGTGCACAGCCATTTTCAGATCTCTCCAGAGATGTTCAGTCGGGTTCAAGTCTGGGCCACTCAAGGACATTCACTGAGCTGCCCTGTAGCCACTTTGTTATCTTGGCTGTGTGCTTGGCATCGTTGTCCTGTTGGAAGATAAACCGTCGCCCCAGTCTGAGGTCCAGGTTTTCATCAAGGATGTCTCTGTACATTGCTGCATTAATCTTTCCCTCGATCCCGACTAGTCTACCAGTTCCTGCAGCTGAAAAACATCCCCACAGCATGATGCTGCCACCACCATGCTTCACTGTAGGGATGGTATTGGGCAGGTGATGAGCGGTGCCTGGTTTCCTCCAGACATGACGCTTGCCAAAGAGTTCAATCTTTGTTTCATCAGACCAGAGAATTTTGATTCTCATGGTCTGAGAGTCCTTAAGGTGCCTTTTGCGGAGGAGTGGCTTCCATCTGGCCACTCTACCATACAGGCCTGATTGGTGGAGTGCTGCAGAGATGGTTGTTCTTCTGGAAGGTTTTCATCTCTTCATAGAGAAACGCTGGAGCTCTGTGAGAGTGACCATCAGGTTCTTGGTCACCTCCCTGACTAAGGCCCTTCTCCCCCGATCTTTCAGTTTGGCCGGGCAGCCCCTTCTAGCAATCCTGTCTCAGAGGTCTACAGACAATTCCTTGGATTTCACGGCTTGGTTTGTGTGAGACCTTATATAGACAGGTGTGTGCCTTTCCAAATCATGTCCAATCAACTGAATTTAACACAGGTGGACTCCAATCAAGTTGTAGAAACTTCTCAAGGATGATCAGTGGAAACAGGATGCACCTGAGCTCAATTTTGTTCATTTGTACAATGTGTTACTTATGTACATGTGATTTTTTTTCTTTGTTGTTTATTTTTAATAAATCTGCAAAGATTTCAAACAAACTTCTTTCACATTGTCATAATGGGGTATGTTTGTAGAATTTTGAGGAAAATAATGAATTTTATCCATTTTGGAATAAGGCTGTTATATAAAATGTGGAAAAAGTGAAGCGCTGTGAATACTTTCCGGATGCACTGTAAGGATGTCATTGAGGCCGGAGGTGATGGATTGTTTTTTATAAAACGTTTTTATAATGTGATGTATTAACAAAGCTAGAACACTTTATTGAGGATACATTTTGAGGATATTTTGCGGATGTCGTTGAGGTAACAGTTTATACAATATTGTCAATAAAACATTGGTAAATGTTTCAAAATAACAAAGGAAGAACATTCTCTCAGTCACATTAGGAGAACGTTATAAGAACATCATTGAGACCTTAAGTGATGGAATGTTTTTTTTATAAAACGCTCTTGTAATGTGACGCATTAACAAAGCTGGAACATTTGATCTGCAGCATTTTGAGGATGTTGTTGAGGTAACAGTTTATACAATATTGTCAATAAAACATTGGCACAATGTTTCAAGATAACAAAAAAAGAACATTCTCTCAGCCACATTAGGAAAATGGTATAGCCTATGGACATGATTGAGGCCTGAGATAACAAAATGTTCTTTATAAAAGTTTCTTGTAATGGGACATGTTAACAAAGCTAGAACACTTCATCTGCAACATTTTGAGGATGTTTTTTGAGGTAACAGATTGTACAATGTTGTCAATAAAACATTGGCACAATGTTTCAAGATAACAAAGAAAGAACATTATCTCAGCCACATTAGGAGAACATTATAAGAACATAATTGAGGCCAGAGGGGGTGTAATGTTTTTATAAAAAGTTTTGGAATGTTCTTGTGGTTACAAAGCTACACTAAAAAAAAGATCTTTAAAGGTTCTTTAAGAACATTTGAAATCGACGAACGGTTGAAAGAATGGTTTGAAGAAATTGGTGTACAATGTTCGTGGTCGGAATCGTCTTAGTTGACGGAACTAAGTGAGTACGGAGTCTTTCACATTCAAACGCGGCGGAATCGGTTACAGAGCCAGAGGTGCTGGAGGATGTTTTACTTGCTGGTACAGTGCGTTGCCCAAACAACAAACTTGTCTCTAGGTCAGCGGAACTCTCCCTTCCACAATAATTACCTGTAACTTACATTTTCTATGGCTTTATTAGTTTACGTATTTATTTTTTATCTTTTACGTATTTACATACACAAAAATCAATCAAAAAAAGTTTCAATCTATGATGACACGATCCTTTTTTATCTTTATAACTTTTTCACATGCACATTTGATATAGCCTAGACATCTTTCAGTATTGAAGCTGGATCTTACTTTCTTAGAATTATAGTTGCATTAATTTTGGGTGTAATGCTGCTTTTGAATAACAGCTAGATTAGTTTTCATCCAGAGCCCAAACTGCCAGCTTGAAGATGAACACGGATGACGCAATAAAAGTCTCCATTTAAGACTGCAGAAGTATTTCACATTCTCCAGTGCATTGTTTCAGTACAGCGTTTTGAACCAACCAATCAGTTAAATAAGTGAATTTCCATCATCTACTGCCCGTTTAGTGTATTTAAAAGTATGATTTTTTTCCTCAGCATATCTTTTTTGTATAGGCCTATTAAAAAATTATTGCAGTTGTAATTTTGCACTGTAAATTTAATTTGATTGGTAACAGCCAGATGATGCATACATTTAATAAGGTTAAAAAATATTGGCCTTTATTAAGGTAAATAAAATCCTGGAGTAAATATAAAAAATAAGACTATTTAAGTACATAAAAGCTGATAGAGCACTGATGAAAATATAGCTTCTTATGTTTATGCCACCAAAAATCTTGGTGA